GAGTAACTGGTCTTCCAAGATCACCATTTGGATGATTTCATTGAACGTTGGTAATCCTCCCAATGAGCCATGGACCAAGATCATCCCACATCTGTAGTTTAGTCCATTATATAATGCACTTTTAGTCAGGCATACTGTGGCCAGATGTGGAGACTTCTGTTTGAGAACATTTACAATTCCCTTGTCAAGAACATCAGCAGTTACTGTGGAAACATTTGTAACTTCCAAAGGAGACTTAGGAAAACCACATACATGCAAATGCTGTGCCATCAGATACTGGTGTTTTTCTGCGAGGGAACTGAGCACATTTTTAAAGCACTTGACATTTCTTGCAACTCTTTTAAAAAAAACTATGCTTAGCTTCAAAGCGCATGGACCATAAAGCTACCAAAGGACCACATTGGCGAATGCAGTGCGGGTAATGTTCCAAGAAATGGTGTTTTGGTTTAAGGTCACAATGAGGAAAAACCTCTTGAAATCGTGTTCTGTGCTCTGAGATCTTAAAGTCAAGATAGGCAATAGAATCCTCTGTATGAACAGGACAGACAACCAGCTCAACAATGTCCTTAAGGTCTGTTAAGATCTGCCATGCTGGCTCATCAAGTGGCACTCTGTGTCCAATCATCAAAGGTAAAAATCTGATCAAAGTCCAGTTCTCATGTGCATTACCCCCAACACTTTTTTTGGATTCAAAATTGAGAGCAATGGGATGAGGTCGATTGGTTTTGTCAGTTCCCTTAAATTTGAAAGATGATATTGTGTCATTCAGTGTTACCAATGTGAAATATGTTTTCTTAATCAATACACCCAGACACAAAGCAAGTTCAAAAGGAACCACTCCTTCAAAAAGATCATGTACAATGTCTGGGGGAAGACTTGTGGTGATGTCAAAATAAGACAAACGTGATAAAACAGAAGAAGATTTCACACCCTGATAATTAGGCAATTTACTTTCCTTAAGAACGTTTAGGTGTTCTGTGTGAATGTTTTTGGTTCTCAGGGTAAATGCACCACTTTTAACCTCTGCAGTTTGAATTTCTGTTTTAGTTGCAAGACAAAACCTACATATGTATGACCCTGTGAAGTTTTCTACAAAGCCACCAATACTGTGGGCAGCAAGGTTGTCTGCAACCACAAACTGAACTGTGCCTTTTACAGCTCTTCCCAACTTTGAAACAAAGACCCCTTCTTGTTTCAAAATGACAAGTTCTTTTAGTAAAGGTTCTAAAACAGTCTCATAACCATAGAACTTCAAATCATTGGTTTTGATTAAAGCAGCCAAGTAAATGGAGGACAAGGCAGAGTTGCACCCTGGTGGCAAATTACCCAGAATCCAGTATAAGCCACAAATTTTGTGCTTTTTTTTAGATGTACCAAGAGGGTTACATATTTCAAAGTCATCAATATACAGTATTATTGAAATCCCCTCAGACAAATGCTTATTTTCAATAAAAAGTGACCCATCAAAGAAAGACCTATATGTATGAACACTAAATCTTTGTAGATTCTCAACAGAATTTAGATGCTCAGTCTGGTCCAAGATACCCTGACAATCAAGAATTTGCTGCAAGGACTTTAGGATTGATATGTACTGAAATGACTTCTTGTTTTTTTTTATCAAGTATATATTCTTCAGGTTCTACCACTTTAAAATGTCTTTTGTAAAAAGCTTTTCGTCTCCAAGCAGTAGAAAGTGAGCCTCTATCTTCTATTGCTTTTTTTACAGGGTTTGTTTCACAGAGGGTCTTGGCAAGTTTTTCAACAAGTGACTGGTCTAAATTGCCAAGATGATCATGTAATATTTGAGTTATAGTTCTGTATGTAATTGGCAGGGACAAAGAACCAATTAAATAGTTTAACTCCTGTAATAGCTCATTTATAGCTGCATTTGACACAAGAAAACTGCTTTCTAACCTAAGAAGAACTGACGCAAGTTTAAGTTCAATATCTTTTTCTAAGTTTTCAGAATCACTTTTGTTAAAGGAGGGATCTAGATTAGCCTCTCCAATACTTTCCTGGTCAAAAATATCAGTACCACCGCCAGCACACAATTGTACACCAGAGTCTAATTGTTGTTTTTCAGTAATCCCAGGCTTAAAGATATTGCAGGTGTCAGAATGTTTCCTGTATTTGTGACTTTTGAAGTTTTCATAAATATTTGTTTTATAAGCACAGTCCTGGAACACACATGTGACAGTTTCCTTATTCTTGAGATGTTGAAATATATGTTGAAAAAAATCTCTCTCAGTGAAAAG